GCTGAAGCTGCATGCCTTTCACGTGGCTGCCCCTTGCTCAAACCCTGATATCCACAGTCCCGAGATTCACCAGGTGCAGCCCTGGAAGCCTCAGAAGCAGTTGGATGTGGCGTGGAGAGCTGGTTAATCACTGGCACCAGAAGCCTTTCTCAACATTGCATCCTCGGGTACTGCTAGGTGGCTTAGATTCTTCAGGTGGGGCATCAGGCCCGCCCCCGTGCCCCAGCACCACTTTGAAGACCCACATTATCCTCCCCACCTTGAAAAACAAATTTAAAAAAATCAAAGTATTTTACCTTAATTTAGCTGAACGTAGTATTCTAGTAAGTGAAACACAATTTCCTTCCATGATTCCCTTCCCAACTGTGGGAAGAATGCTTTTGCGACATGCCACATATAACGAGCACGCCAACCAGTGAATAACTTCTCCCTGGTGAACAAAGACAAACAGCAAAATGGGTATGTCATGTGAAAATGTTTGGATTTTAGGGGTCAGAGTGATAAAACAGTGGGTAAGGTGTTTGCTTGGCACAGTTAACCTGGGTTCAATCCCTGGCACTCATATATTATCCCAAGCAGCCCCAGGAGTGATCCCGAGCTCAGAGCCTAGAAGTAAACCCTGAGCACAGTCAGGCATGGCCCCAAAACAAAAAACAAAAAGAAAGAAAATGTTTTGAGTTCTAGAACAAGAGATTTTACAATTATTTTTTGTGGCAGAAGTGAGGACTTGGGGGCCACACCTAGCAGGCGCTTGAGTGTGATGTGTGGTTCTGGTATAGAACTTGAGGTAGGCTGCAAGCAAAGGAAGTGCCTTAAGCCCTTTATTCTCTCTCTCGCCCTCTGGTAATTTTCATTCTGTATATAATTGCCCAGAGGAGGTGTCTGGCCAAGGTTAGCAAGCTTAGATACAGTAATGTTTAAAAAACTCCTTACTCTCGGTTCTGTGTGATATACTAAATTATTATTCATCTAAATGCCATCTAAACATCCAAATCAAATACTGAAAAAGTTCTCTTAAAGGGGCTGGAGCGATAACACAGCAGGTAGGGCGTTTGCCTTGCACGCAGCCAACATGGCCCACACAGGTTCGATTCCCAGCATCCCATAAGGTCCCCCAAGCACCGCCAGGAGCAATTCCCGAGTGCATGAGCCAGGAGTAACCCCTGAGCATCGCCGGGTGTGACCCAAAAAGCAAAAAAAAAGTTCTTTTAAAATTTCTCTGCATTAACTTTCAAAGGTTTTTTTTGGGGGGGCTTTTTGGGTCACCCCTGGCGATGCACAGGGGTAACTCCTGGCTTTGCACTCAGGAATTACTCCTGGCGGTGGTTGGGGGACCATATGGGATGCTGGAAATCGAACCTGGGTCCGTGTGCAAGGCAAATGCCCTACTGGCTATACTATTGCTCCAGCTCCTTTGAAAGTTATTCAAAGTTTTAAAATGCATTTGTTTTGCATGTGTGATGTCCTGGATTTGATCTTTGGTACCTACCACTTCCCAAATAAAATACAAATTTACTTTCTGCTGATAAGACAGCTTAATCAGTGACCCTAATTAAAAAAAAAATTCAAGCCAAGAGCCAGAGACTTAGTACAAGGTACTCGCCTTGCATGCAGTCATCCCTGGTTAAATCCCCAGTACCACATGTGGGAATACTTGTGATATAGAGCATGAACTGCCCCTGAGTGGGGGGATGGTTTGGGCATTTGTGGGGCCAACTCCTCCCACCCCCTACCGCCAAGAAAACCAGTAAGAAATCCTTAAAACTATTTTATTCTAGTTCCTTTTATTTTGGGGGGGAGGGGGAGTTGAGCCACATGTGGCAGTGCTAAGGGGACTATGTGTCCCCAGGGAACAAACTAGGGTTGACTGAAGGCAACCTGTGCCTTACCCCTCTACTATTCTATTCTAGTTCCTTAATGCTAGAAATAGAATGATGGTTTCTGATTTGCAAGCCAAGAACAGATTGGCAACGATCACCTATAATTGTTGGGAAACACACTATAAAAAGTACTGAAGAGGGCCAGAGAGACAGTTTAAATGGCTGGAGCACATGCTTTGCATGTGGGAGGGCCAGATTGGAGCCAAGCACTACAAGGTACCCTGGGCACCCCTGGGTGTGACCTCCCAAGAGTAGCCTCCTAGCAGGAAGTAAAGCACTGAGTCAGGAATAGGTTCTTAGGCCCAGAGGGTGTGGCACAAATGCCCAAACCATCTCCCCCCAAAAAAGAAAAAAGCCAAGTGTAAACAGTAATCCACCCTCACAGAAGGGGACAGGGAGGAAGGTAAGGGGCAGAGGCAAACAGGAACCTATCAAGAAGACCAAAAACAGGAGCATGAACACTCAGTACGTTGCAATTCCCACTTGTGCCTTCTAAATCAAACCTGAAAAATGTCCCGAAAGAGCTTTCAAACTGAAGGCTTCCTTCCTCAACCTTCCCTTGTGTGGGGGCAGAAATGCATTCTCAAATTTTTTTTTAAATTGATTAATTTGGTTTGGGGGACACACCCAGCAGTGTGCAGGGCTTACTGCTGGCTCTGCGCTCAGGGATCACTCCTGGCAAGCTGGGGGAATATATGGGAGCTGAGGATTAAACCCTGGTGGGCTGCGTACAAGGCAAACGTCCTACCTACCCTGCTCTCTCCAAACCCTCCTCTGGATTTTAAGCTTGGAGACCAGCCTGCAAGTCCCCCTCACTTGCTCAAGCTTTCCCAGTCCTTCCAGTTGGGCAGTTCCTTGTATTTTACCAGTTCTGGTCCCGAGAGACATACAAGTGCCTTATACGGTCCCTCCCCAAATATGTGGATACCAGGAAGTCACTTCCCCATTTTCAACAATGCTTCTAAACCCAGCAAGTCACCCTGTAGTTGCAGAGCAGCCCTCACAGTAGGCTGGATCCTGCCTGGAGAGGATCAGGAGACGCTTAGAAGTGACTTAGAAGTGACGGCCCCCTCTGCCTCCAACTCTAGCATCTCTGCCTCCAACTCTAGCATCGGGTCTCTAGGGAATCCCTTAGGAGCAGGTTGGCCCTGGGGTGGGGGTGGGGGGTGCAGGATAACTCTAGGGGCTGCAAAGAGGACCTGGAAGCTGCTGCAGCTCTGCCTGGCTCCGGGCTGGTGTAAGAGGCAAAGCAAACTGACAGCTCTTTTTTTGTTGTTTGTTTTGTTTTCTTTTTGCCTTTCTGGATATCGGGGCCACCCCTGGCAGTGCTGGGGAGATGGGGGCGGGGGCTTCCTCCTGGCTCTGGTTTCAGAGATGACTCCTGGTGGAGTTCGGTGGCCCATGTGGTGCCAGGGATCTGAACCTGAGTCGGCTGCGGGACAGGCAGGTCCCCACCCGCGGTCCCAGTCTGCTTTCTTGCCACCGGGGCCAGGCGCAGACAGAGCGCTACGTGGCCCGCCCGCGCGTACCCCCCTCCCCCCGCACAAAGAGAAGGGACAGCCGGCCGCGGACCCTGGGGCCAGGCAGTCCCTTCTCTTTGTGCGGAGGCGTCACCGGGCGTTTCCTGCTGGTTGTAAGACTTGAGAACTGAGCGGACGAACTGAGCGGACGCCAGGTCCAAAGCGCTCCGCGGGGGCATGCTGGCACACAACCGAAGTGGTGGTGCCTCTGCAACGTCAGTGTTGAAACCCAGACCTCTCAGAACCCTGGGTGGCGGGGTAGGGGTGTGTGTGTCCGTGTCCGTCAGTTTCCCGCCTCAGCAACCCCCAGGATGTGTGTGTATGGGATTGTATGTGACCGTCGGTTTCCCGCCTCAGCAACTCCCAGGGTGTGTGCGTGTGTGTCCGTGTCCTCAGACAAGCCCCTCCTTTGCCAGGCTTCAGTTTCCAGGTGTGTGTGTCCGTCCGTGTCCTCGGGCAAGCCCCTCCTTTGCCAGGCTTCAGTTTTCCGGGGTCTGTGTGTGTGTGTGTGTGTGTGTGTGTGTGTCCGCGTCTTCGGACAAACCCCTCTTTTGCCAGGCTTTAGTTTCCCGGGGTCTCGTGTGTGTGTGTGTGTGTCCAGGTCCTCGGACAAGCCTCTCCTTTGCCAGGCTTTAGTTTCCCGGGGTCTCGTGTGTGTGTGTGAGTGTGTGTGTGTGTGTGAGTGTGTGTGTGTGTGTATGGATGTGTGTGCGTGCGTGTGTGTCCGCGTCCTCGGACAAGCTCCTCCTTTGCCAGGCTTTAGTTTCCCGGGGTCTCGTGTGTGTGAGTGTGTGTGTGTGTGTGTGTGTATGGATGTGTGTGTGTGTATGGATGTGTGTGTGTGCATGAGTGTGTGTCCGCGTCTTCGGACAAGCCCCTCCTTTGCCAGGCTTTAGTTTCCCGGGGTCTCGTGTGTGTGAGTGTGTGTGTGTGTATGGATGTCTGTGTGTGTGTGTGTGCGTGCGTGTGTGTCCGCGTCCTCGGACAAGCCCCTCCTTTGCCAGGCTTTAGTTTCCCGGGGTCTCGTGTGTGTGTGTGTGTGAGTGTGTGTGTATGGATGTGTGTGTGTGTGTGTGTGTGCGTGCGTGTGTGTCCGCGTCCTCGGACAGGCCCCTCCTTTGCCAGGCTGCAGTTTCCCGCCTCAGCGAAGAAGAACCACCGCCGCCACCACCAGCACCACCACAGGGGAGGGAGCGAGACCCAAGCCCGCCCCGCAGCTTCGCGCGCCTCGCGCCGACCCTTCCCGGAGGGGCAAACGCCCCCCGCCCCCTGAGGAGGGGCCGGGGCGGGGCCGCGCGGCCCACCTGTCGCCGCTCACCTCCAGGCTGTAGTTGCCCCGGATGGCCGTGAAGTCGTCCAGGGCTTCGGCCGCGCTGCCCTCGTCCAGGTTCAGCTCCTGGCACAGCGCCTGGAGCGCCTCCCCGGCCGCCGCGACCACCGCCGCCCCGTCGGCGTGAGCCTCGTCCTCGAACATCCTGGCCCGTCGGGCCCGGCGGGCGGCGCAATCGGCGAGACCCTCGGCCCCGCGCTCGCGCTCCGCCGCGCTACCCACCAGCCCCCGCGCGAAAAGCGCGCGAAAACCGCGGCGGCACCGCGCCCGCTAGCGGCCGTCTGCCTCCGCGTGCCGCCTCGAAAGAGTCCTCAGCTTCTTCGGAGCGTCCCCGCCCGGCCCCGTCCTCCGGAAACGCCGGAAGACGGCGGCCCTCGGGGCCTTAAGCGGACGGCCGTCCTCTGCCCGCGGCGAGCGGCGGGGGAGTCCAGCTGGGGGGGGGGGGGGGTCCAAGTGGGCGCGGAGGGATCCGCGACCCGCGCGCGGAGCTTGCCGGGAGTTGTAGTCCACGTCCTGCCAGGACCAAGCCGGCCCTCGGCCCGAAGCTCTGTTACGGGATGACCCCACTCGTCTCCCCAGAAACTTTTTTATCTGTACGTTGCAGTCCCTGAGCCCCGTGCTTATCATCTCCCGGATCGCCAACGATTATCTGAGATTTTTGTTCCTTGAGTTGGGAGACGGAGTGAAGGTGGGGATGGGGGCGTGTCTCCCGCGCCCAAGTGAAAGATTTGTTGAATGACTAAATTGCTGCGTTGGTGAGATATTAGGGGACAAGTCCTCATTTCATTTTGATCGCTAAATGAGGCTTGATCTGGACTGAGAATTGCTATGGGGGCGGTGGGTGTGTAGGGCGGGGGCTATTCGCAGCTCCCTGGTGCCTGAGAACCATACCAGTGGGTATGGAGTTCTAGGGTGGCATGCATGTGGGACTCACAGCTCCACCAAAGCCCTGTCTTCGAGGAAAAGCCACATTCATGTTCGAAAAGGCGAGTGGGGGCGGGCAGGGGTACAGCTCAGGTGATAGAACACATGCCTAGCTTGCCTGAGGCTTTGCCTGCCAGCCCTGGACCACGTGTCTCCCCACCCCACCCCCAGCTCTGCCCAGAAAGCGTGGCAGGGTGGGGCCCCCTATATTACGTAATACAAGAAGGTGAATCAAAGCGTCTCCTTTATATAAAAGTCTTTCAAATAGTCTTCTTAACATTTTACCAAAATTCTTTCTGGTAGGCCGCAGGTGACCTTTGGGTGTGGCCCTTAATAATTAGGCCCAGCCTCGCTGCTTTGATTTGGAACCTTGAAAACAGCCAAGCTGTGAAGCTAGTGCTTGCCTCCAGGCTTTTTCTCACATGTTTATCAAATGAGTCTTCCTCCTCCATACCAAATCTTAGCTATTCTGGCTCATCAAGCAAGTTCAACTGCATGGCATCCTCTCCAGACACTCTTATTTTGTATTTTTTTTTCTTTTTGGGTCTCACCCAGAGATGCTCAGGGGTTACTCCTAGCTCTGTGCTCAGGAATTACTCTTGGCGGTGCTTGGGGGACCATATGGGATGCCGGGGATTGAACCCCAGTCAGCTGCATGCAAGGCAAAGCCCTACACACTGTACTATCGCTCCGGCCCCTCCAGCCACTCTTGAGCACAGTATCTGACATGGCCAGCTCTCCCAAAAATGCCATTCACTGTCACTGTCCTCCCGTTCGTTGTTCATCGATTTGCTTGAGCGGGCCCAGTAACGTCTCCATTGTGAGACTTGTTACTGTGTTTGGCATATCGAATACATCACGGTTAGCTTGCCAGACTTTTGCCGTGCAGGCGAGATACTCTTGGTAGCTTGCCAGGCTCTCCAAGAGGGGCAGAAGAATCGAACTCAGGTTGGTCATGTTGGTTGCATGAAAGGCAAACGCTCTACCCGCTATGCTATCGCTCCAGCCCCCAAAATGCCATTATTGTCTTCAATGAGCACCGTCATTTTCTTCAATGATGGCCGTGATGGGAACACTGCAGTACTATCTGGTTGTCTTACTCACTGTGTCTTCCCACTAAAATGAGTTATGGGAGAGCAGGGGCCTGCCTTTCTTAATCACTCTATACTAAGGTTTAGTCCTGGCTCCGAGCACCCAGGACTCAGTAGAGCACATTTGGAAAATCACAGAATGCCTTGTTGTTTGGACAAAGCAAGGAGTCTCCAGAGACAAGTGGAAGACAGGTAAGTTGCAGAGAACTCCTTTTGCTTCACAGAAACCTGAACATTACTAGTGAGGATTTACAGGAAATTAAGTACAGGGATTAAGGTGCTTGCTGTGCACCTTAATTTACATGATCAGTAGATTTTTTTGACATACCACTGGGTGCAGTGTGATGCGTAGTTTGGTTAGACCACATAATTGAGAGACCCTGCGGAAGGGGGTTGGGAGACACTGCTGAAGAGGGCAGAGTCTGCTGAAGAGGGAGTCCCCAATAATATTTACTGGCTTCTGTTTCAACCAAGGAGGTGAAATGAGATCCTGCTAATTAGGAAATAAGTATAAGCAGAGGAATGATCAGTTTTTGTGCACATTGGGTTTGAGATGTATACAAGACATGGAAGTCTTCGGGATCCCAGAAGTTGGTCTGTCTCATGATGATTTTTGACATGCTCCACAGATAGAAGGGGTGTGACATGACAGCCAGCGGTAAGCCAGATCTCAAAGGAGTATTATCACTCCGGTCCCTCAATCAGCATTTATACCAAGTCACTTTTTTCTAAAACTTCATGTGTTTACATTACCAGCTGAATCAAACTTCAGCAGGTTTGTGTTAAGAGAGTTGTACACCAAGTCTCATCTGCATGCTTTCTTTTTACTCACATGCTTACCCTACCTATTTTTTTTTAAATCATGGTTCATGTTTGTTTTTATTTTCTCTTTTTATCCAGTGGCATGTCCATTGAACACAAAGCTGAGCTTTTGTGGAAAGAAAAGAAAAGAAATATAAGTTGTGACATAGTGACTCATTTGTGGTCTACATGCATCAAGAAAGTTGTTTCACACCCCCCTCCACCCCCCCCCAAAAAAAAAAAACCAATGAGACTGGAGAGATAGTACAGTGGGTAGGGTGCTTGCCTTGTACACGGCTTACCTGGTTTCAATTCCCAGCATCCCATATGGTCCCCTGAGCACTGCCAGGAGTATTCCCTGAGTGCAGAGCCAGAAGAAACTCCTGGCCACTACTGCGTGTGGCCTCAAAACCAAAATAAATAAATAAACTGAAAAAACATTGATTTGGGGCTGGAGAGGTAGTACAGGGATTAAGGTGCTTGCTGTGCAACTCCACTTAGATCCTGACACCACTGCCAGGAGCACTGCCAGGAGTGATCCCTGGACACAGTGCCAGAAGTGAGCCTTGAGCACTGCCAGGTGTGGCTCCCCCAAAACAAACAGGCCTGAGGGAGTACCGTGGGTAAGACTCTTGCCTTGCATGCGGCACACCTGGCTTTGCTCCCTGGCACCACATCCAGGAGTGATCCTTAAGTGCAGAGCCAGGAGTAAGCCCTGAGCACTGCCGAGGGAGGCCCCCAAACCAAACAAATAAAAAGAAAATAGAGAAACAACAATGTTAAGTTCTTATTTACCTATGGCTATACCCAAGACACTCAATTTGGTCACAAAAAGATACATCAGAATAGCACTTTTAAAATGTTCCCCTACAAGGAAAAAAAAAGGAAGAAAAATAAATAAATAATATGTTCCCCTACAAGACTAGCATGGACTTCATTTCCCTAGGACCAAAATTTAGCATCATTTTTGTTTCCTGAGTTCACAGAAACCTGGGATAGATCTGTTTCCCTGTAATTCTAGGAAAGCTGAAAAGCTGAAGTCGCAGCTAAATCCTCCCTCAGACACTAGTCCTGAAAGTGAAGTCATGAGAGTGTTGTGTGGAACACCGGAAGGTGAGGTCACCCCTGTTGCTTGTTCTCTTCATTTCAGCTTTTTTTTCTTTTAATTTTCTTCTTTCTGTCCGTCACCATGATTTATAAAGCTTTTAATAAGATTTTCAAGCATTTTGTGTTCCCTCTTCACACCCACCACTAGTGTCAACATCCCTCTACCAGGGACCCATGATTCCCTCCCTCCATTTCATTTTTTTAAAATTCAATTTAGAGAAATTGATACGGTTGCTACTTATGGGCTATCAAGAAAAGAAATACAGAGAATTTTAATTGATTTACTCATTTAGTGCGTTTTAGCAGATTATTTAGCCTCTCAGAGTCTGTCTACTTATCTATAAAATATTTATAAAAATATTAAAAATATTTATAAAATATTTATAGCAATAGCTAAATTACACAAAGGGGAAAAATATAAATTTCTATATATATAAACAATAATTATATCTTACTATATTAATTTTTCTACTTCCCAAGAAGCAAGTGGCTGTTTTCCAATCCTTATTTTTAAAGGCATAAACTTCAACATAACTGAGGTTAGTAATAGGTCCACTTAAACAGGAAAATGATGCATAAAATAACACTAGAAAGCTAAGTAAGAAGTTAGGGCCAATTTCCCTACAAGAGAAGTTGCTTAAGGGAAAAGAAATTCAACAGTGATGGGATAGGAATAAAACAATTTACATTTCACTGCATCTTTTTTATCTCTTGAACTCAGTACTCAATCTAAAAATCTAGCAATACTATAAAATAATTAGAATATCACATTTGCATGGCTTACCTCTTATTTTTATTGATCAGTTCTGTTACAAACAACATCTAAGAATTTCAAAGCAATATGTCATTTCAGAAACTTTTCCTCTAACATCTAGTTTTTTAAAAATATGACAATTGCAGAACCAGAAATTAATTTTCTCATATGCAATCACACTTTTTACTGTTATGGTTCTTAAGTATGAAATGCAATAGACAATAGCTAAACCCAGGTGACTGGGTAAAGTTCAGATGTTAATTCATTGTATAAAGTAATAAAGATTATTTTAATAATATATAAAAAGAAGGAATGAATCAGCATGAAAAAGAACAAACCTCAAAAAAAGAATCTGAATTTGAGGAAAGAATATGAATCTTGCTTAGAAAGAAAAAGATGTCATAAAAACATGAAAAGATTCAATTGCTCTAATTTAAAAAAATTAAAGGCATAAGCTATGGAAAATCATTTTTAACCGATTGAGTTAATAAAATCCAAAGTTTGAAAACACTTCTGTGATCATCACCTCCGTCCACTAACACTGTGTTAGAGTCCGGAGTCGACCACCCCTCAAGGACAGAGAACAGAGCAGATAATCAAATCACATAGCAAGGTTTATTGTTCTAGCTAGCTGGGGTCCATGTATCCACCCGATGCAGCAGGTTTCAACAAGGACCCCAAGCACCAAATTCAGCAAGTTCTTATGCTTTCATTTTAGCAAGTAAGCATTACTCAGCAAGAATACATATATTTT